TGTAAACGAATGTGATCTTCGTTCTTTAGTTTCATTCGTAAGGCGCCTTCTTTTTATTTCGTTAACTTTGATACAACCTCTTAAGAAAATATCTTGGTCAAGTTGACTATGTAAACTATAAAATTCTTTCATGGCAGCCTCTCTCTCATCCGAAATAATTTTTTGATTGCAATTTTGACGGCATCTGCATTGTATATCGACAAATGTTTTTGCAGGTATTAATTTTCCTCCCCTATTCCTGTATGCCAAACCTTTTATCCTGTTATGCTTTTGTAAATTTCGTATCCATTTAACAGGATTACGACTTCTTTTCCTCCCAATCAATGTGTTTGTTGGGTTTGTACTGTTGCAATCCGATGAATCCGAGGAAAACGATAAACGTCTTCTTGGACCAGACTTTCTGTTGATAAATCGTATTGAAGAATCATCACTGCTTTCCTCACTCACATTATTAGTCTCACTCATCTTGATTATAACGGTATAATATTTATTTCTTTAAAAACAATCTGGGAGTAATGTTGAAAAGACTAAGAAGTACACAGTAACATTCAGCGTGCGAGATCACTGCTATACTAACTACCGTTTGCATTGTGCTTCTTTTTATCTGTTTACCGATGCGATTTTGTTACGAATATTATTGAGAGGGAGAGAGCATCTTCGGCTGTTTAAAAACAAATAAGCGTCGATGCACGGCCAGAACAGATACAGCGTTACTGAAACGATTTACATTAGAGTATGGAGTTAATCGAAATGGCTTCTGAAATAAATTACTTATTATTCAATGGCCAAAAAAATTTGCCATTTAACGGTGCTAATCTTTATTATTCAGGAAAGTTATTATAAATATAAAAAGTTATGACTATACCAAGGGCTTTGACACTTAAATTTAAGATTTTTCAAAAAGTGGAGTTAATCGATGTGTGCATTGAGCGGCTCAAATGGGAATTGAAATAGTCCAAACGGAGTTGTTATTGCCGTCTTTGGTATATCTTCGGACGCTGCCGGAATCTGATTGTAGGCTCTGACCAAATCTATTATTGAAAATATGTTTTTACCTCGCAACGAATGTGCAAAATCTTCTATATGTTTCACGGGGTATCGGTCGGGAAGCGTCCGTGCATTTAGAGCGCGGTAATCCCCACATGGCCGCCGTTCGTCTTGTCCTTTCTTCGGCACCATGTGCAACGGAGACGACCAACTGCTCTCCGACGGTCTTGCTGTCCCCAGACGCATCACCGTCTCGAACTCTTTCCTGGCTGCCCTCAATCTGTCCGGTGCAAGTCGGCGATGTCTGCAGGCAATCGTCGGGCCCGGTGTGGTGCGTATGTAATGCACTGTGGAATGCTTCCGCTCCAATGATGTTCCTTCCGGTCGTGTTATCTCCGGGAACTTCTGCAACAACTCGTGATACGCGGAGTCGCCGAAAACGGTTTTTAAACTCGGTACCGACTGTGCGCGTCCATCCACCGTTCGACTCCGCACCGAGAGTGATGTCACCTGGTCCATTAGCCGACGATTACGGATATCCACGAGTAACCCGAAATGGAACAGGAAATCCACGCCTATGATGGGCTTCGCTACATCCGCAACCACGAATCTCCGGGTGAAAATCCGACGCAGTCCCAGGTCTAACGTCAATGTCAAAGAACCATACGTAGCAATTTCAGTCCCGTTTGCCGCAAAAAGTGTGTATTGCGATTTGTCACGCTGTCCCCGAGTCATTTTGCGAAGGAACACACAGAGATCGGCACCGGTGTCGACTAAAAACTGCACCTTTGACGTGAAGTCCATGACGAAAAGACGGCGCATCGTTGGGCAAGGGTCATGGAGTTATTGGACATGGGTTACATGGAGGGGTGCACCTTCTCGCCTCGGTATCAAACTTCCAGTGATACCAACACATTCCCCGTTTGCCATGCGTTGTCCCGGTCCACGAACGCGTGCGTGAACGTGAACTGCTGTCGCCCCGTGATCGCCCACTCCTGTTGCTCGGTGATCGCGTTCGGGACCCAAGGGTATCGCGTCGTGACGGACGATCCGTTCTAACTACTTCTTGTCGAATAGCAGCGATCTCCTGCCGTGAAGATATCGCCAACTGCGATATTTGACTGGCAAGTAACGACTCCACCGAGTTACCTGCGCCCTTAATCCCTTGGGGTCGACACACAGACGCCGCAGCTACCTGACCACGAGGGGCTGACGTTTCCGCAATTACATCCCCCAGTTCGGCGACCTTGTCTAGGCCAGCATCCTTTAGTGTAGCAAGAATAACTTGCATGTTCGTGGGGAGTCGTCCTAGCCAAAGAGTACGCAGGACTCCCTCCAATACTACTGTGCCGGCCAACCCAATACTAATTTTCTATAAAGAAAAATACAAATGTAATTTTCTTCGTCTGAGTGATTGTTGTCTACCAGAAGTTCTTTTACATCATCTTCCAATGTTAATCGATTTTTATGAAAATTTTTTCTTCTAGCTGAGGAAATTGAAGATATTAAAGAATCAGATGATATACATAATATTTGAAACAAATCGGTCATTGTTTCAGTTCGGGAACATTTCCTAGTATGATGTTACTATCCCCCGATCTCCGTCGCATCGGGATTCGAACGGGGTTTCGGACGGGGTCTTCATCATGAACGCGTGAGAGAAATCATGCAGCTCTCCGCGTTTAGGACGTAAATTTTAGGTTGCTTGGGATTTGGGATTTTTGACCTGGCTTGGGCCACTCGGTCGTCGCGTCGTAAACGCGTGACGTAGACTTTTGCCGAGAACACGCGAAGCAGAGCGCACACGGACAGAGGTAGAAAACGCTTGTGTTGGTGAGTCGCCGAGTAGGACGTAGTGGGGGCAGAGCTCACGGACAGGCTAGAATAGCTTGTGTAAAATACCCACGGCAGGCATGGTAAGCGCTCACGCGAAAATCCCACGATTCTGGCATCAGTGGTGGGGACTGCGTTCGGCACGCGCCCGTCAATCATTCATTGTCTGGAAATGGCGGAGAATGTTGACGAGACGCTGAACGTTTTAAAAAGTTTATTTCTTTTGAAAGAATGTCGTACCCAAATATTGATCAACATATTAAAAGGGGATTAAATTAATACGTAGGTTATTAAACGCTACACGTGGAAATCGCAGGGTAAAGAAGGAAGTTGGTTTACCGAGCGTCTGAGCGAGAGCCTCTCGTGCCAAAGTGCTGGAGGATGGAAAGAGACACACAGTGGCAATGAGACCGTCACAACGTCGCACGAAATACGTAGCTCGCGTTGGATCCCCGCCAGGCCACGCGCCGAGGCAGGCCAACCTCCTAGACATCATCTTTCGAAAAACAGACCATAGTTGAACAAAGAGTTTGTCTTAAATTTTGTCTTTCAAACGAAATTTCGTGTGCCGAAACACTGAAAATGTTGCAGAAGATTTACGGTGAATCGTGCATGTCAAAAACACAGGCACATGAATGGTATAAAGCATTCAGAGAGGGCCGAGATGTGGTAGTTGATTTGCCTCGTTCTGGTCGATCTGCAACGTGTACGAACGACGAAAACATCGACAAAATCAAGAAGCTGGTGTTCGAAAATCGTCGTATGAGTCTTAGAGAGTTGGCTGAAGAGGTCAGCATATCTTTTAAGTCCGTTCATAACATTATGACTGATATTTTTGGCATGAAACGCGTCGCCGCACGACTGGTACCAAAAGAGCTCAATTTTCGAAAAACAGAATCGAAAGTAGGTCGCTGAAGACATAATTTCCCGAGCTTCTACGGACCCCACCTTCATAAAATGCATCGTAACTGGCGACGAGACATGGGTTTACGAGTACGACATACAAACAAGCCAACGGTCTTCGGAATGGCGCCTCGAAAACGAGCCGAAACCCAAAAAACCGCGTTAAAGTCGCTCGAAAATCAAGGTCATGCTCATAGTTTTCTTTGATTACTGTGGAGTGGTGCGCTCCGTATTTCTTCCAAAGGGACAAACGGTGAATAAGGATTACTATTTAGGCGTCATGAGGCGTTTGTGCGAGAATATCCGCCGAAAATGGTCAGATTTGTGGATGGACAATTCATGGATTTTGCACCACGATAATGCACCATCGCACAAAGCCATCGTTGTGCAAGAGTTTTTGGCTAAAAACTCAACGAATGTTATCGACCAAGCACCGTACTCGCCTGATGTGGCACCGTGTGACTTTTTCCTGTTTCCGAAGCTAAAATTGCCACTTCGAGGAAGACGTTTTGAGTCAATTGAGGCCATAAAAGAAGATTCGCTGAAAGAGCTGAAGGCCATACCTCAATCAGCCTACGAAGAATGTATGAATGTTGTATTGCACTCGATGGGGCCTACTTGGAAGGCGACAAAATAAATTTTGATAAATGTATTAATTTTTTGTATTTTATTTAATAATTCCGGATACTTTTTATACAGAATGTATTACTTGCTAGGCTGATAGAACAACAAAAATATTATTGTTTAGGCGCAAAATGGCGCACTTGGAACTAATCGTAATTCAATAAACAAGACTTAAAGTAACAATTAAATCACAAATCAAGTCCGGCAATAGCCGGCATCAATAGTTATTTACAACTAAACCTCAATTCTGCAAAACCTTTGCGGATAAACTTTTTTTCCAACATAATTTCGAATTTTAAAGCTATGCGGAACACGGTGAATACATCTAATGTTCATACAAATTTATAAAAAATTGTCTTGAACTAAAACAATTACTGATTTGTTCCATACATTACTAGTATTCCCTGATTGTTTAATATCCGCAATTTCGTTATCCAGAAGAAAAATTTTGAAAGAAGTCCATTAATGTTCGAGAATAATATATGAGAACTTGTAATTGACAATGATAAATCCGTAAAAAAAAATTTTTTTTATAATGTTTATAGAAGAGTTATTATTAACAAACATTAGTTATTAATTTTTTTTTAAGAAAGAGGAACATTAAATACATGCTTACCAAGTTTGCTTTTGATATTCCCATGTTTACACCCAATTTAAACTTCTGAATTGCTAAATCGGCGTTCTGGACCACTGTGCGTCGTCCTGCGCATAGGGGTTCCTTGCCTTTGACTGCGTTGTTGACCTGAAGGCGAATGTGACCGACGTAGATTGTTGATCAGGGCATCCACTTGGCTTGCCACCGCACTTAGTTCCGATTTCTCGGTCACGGCAGCGATGTGTCCATTTTCCGGTTGGATTTCATGGATCCTATCCGCCATCTCCGTCAGTGCGGTGATGCTAGATTTCGTCATGACGACCAGAACTCGCTGCGTGTTGGCCGGCAGCCGGTTCTTCCATAGCGTCACGATAAAATCGTCGGGTGTCAATTGGGTGGCCAGCTTCTTCAAATCTCTGAAGAACTGCGATGGCGTGCGATCTCTCATCTTTTCGCTCTCCATCAGTTTGCGCACCCGCGAACTATCCGACTCGGCGAGCCTCTTAATCAACTCACGTTTCAGAACTCCGAATTGTCCTTCTTCTGCTGGATTTAATATAACGTCTTCGACCAACTCGACGTACTTTTCACCCGAGTTCGCAATCGTGATGCTGAACTTAGTCTCGTCCTTCAAAATACGTGCGGACTTGAAGTAATCCTCGAGCAGCTTGAATTAGAGTACAATTTTATGGGGCCAAAACTGTGGAATGCGCACATTCTGTTGGCTCACCACGTTCACCGATTCACACTCGGTATCGACATTACCGGACGCGACGGTCATCTCACTTCCACCGGTAGGGGACGACATTTTTGCGACACTCGCGATTTATAAAATCTAGTAAAGTATTTTCACTTGTCTCTCACGTTCACGTCTCTGCACTAAAAGATCACGTCGGTGTCACCAATTTGAGGTGGTGACGTGGAAAAAGGAATCCGTACACAAAGAATACTATGCTAAGATTTATTTATACGTTCTCACTAATATGTACACACAAATTTTAGAAAGAAATAATGTTGCTGATTTCCCAACAACAAATCGAAAATACTTGCCCTCGTTAAGGGTAGCGAAATGACTCATTCAGTGTCCTTACTAGACGAGTGCTCGTGACTGGATGCCCTCGCCTGCACACGCTGTCTTTTCGGGGAAGGAAGAAAACCCATAAAAGAGAAAGTTCCCCCGACCACTTAAACGGAAATTTTCCTGTCGCACCGAAAATCCTTGCGCACAGATGCAAACCATTTTATTACCCTCGAAACCTTGAGCTCATCGGCTCAAGGGCTAAAATGACCAGCAACAGTCCACGGACGCTCCACAGCAAACTACCTGGCTGTGCACGCTACAGTACCCCCTTACCAGTGATAACGCAACTGGCAAAAGAAAAGGTAGTAATTACTTTACCGGTTCGCTCGCACTTAAATAACAAACAAAATATGTACATGTTACCAACTACATTAACACTATAATAACCATAACTACTACTAACGAACTAAACCTACACTTACTTAAAACCGGCTTGTAAACGTTCAGGAAAACGAATCCTCCGTCCTACACGCGAAGTAAATCTACCCGGATTGTCTTCAACAGTACTCGGTAGTTGTACCGGTATTACATGGCTGTGTATGCTACAGTTTTTTGATTGATCGATTCAGTTGTGAGTTATAGGGTGTAAAAGATGGAAGTTAACAAAGAGAAAATTCGGTATATTTTACAATTTTGCTTTGATAAAGATGAAAATGCAAGCCAGGCGGCTGAAATTGTGAATGGTGTTTATAGTCCCGATACTGCCACAGCCAATTACTCGCAATTTTGGTTTCGTCGATTCCGTTCGATAAAATGTCGATAAAATCATGGGAATAATCGAAGTAGACCGGCATGTTAGCAGTCGTAGCATCGTCCAGGAGCTAAAGATCGACCACGAAACAGTTTTAAACCATCTACATAACGCTGGATTCAAAAAGAAGCTCGATGTTTGGGTGCCACACGAATTGACGCAAAAAAACATGATGGATCGAATTTCCATCTGCGAAGTCTTGGCCAAACGGAACGAAATCGACCCAATTCTTAAGGGGGGATCCTCATGTAACGGGACCAAAAATGGAAAGAAATTTTATTCCATAAATCGTTAGTAAAATATCTCAAAAATGTATTCTTAAAGCCCCTGGGCGAAATTCGCAGTTGAAATAGGGGATATTCGCTCGGCCTCTTTTATGCAATAGGACATTCGACGATCCCTAGGGTGGTATTTGTATCTACGTGTATACATATTTGTAAGCATTAGTATACCTGACTGAGA